GCCGTCCGGATTTCGATCCCTTGCACAACCTTCAGGCGCTCGCCTTCCCCTGATCGAGGATCATCCCCAACCAGAAGGCCGCGAACCCCCCAAAAGACTGCAGAGACCACTCTCACCATCCGGCATACGCTCCTCCAACAAGAAGCGTGCACCAACCTTCAGTTTTTCTTTTACTTCCTCAACTGGGTCTCCAGCAACATCCGCCACTATTTCAAAGAAAGTATATTCAACTTCACTCCAATGGAGAGATTTCTCTAGCGCTCCTTTCACCAAGGTAAACAACTCCACAATCTCGGGGTCTTTCATAAACTCCCTCACCTTGTTTCGAGTTGATTCATAAATCTGACTCTCCTTCATGGTTCGCTCTAGTGCCCGATAGCCCAACTCATTGGCCGCAGCATCTTCATTCACCACTTCCCGCGGCCCTTCTTGCCTTTGCATCTTCCTTTCTTCCCCTTTCCGGGGCTCCCCCCATTCGAGGGTGGTGTGTCGTTTTTTGTGTCGCCTTCCTTTTTCTCGGCGCCTCCTACGGCTGCGTGACTTGGTCCCCAAGCCTGGCGCCTCCGCGGCCACTGATCCTGCTGCAGTCGCAGATCGCTCCTCTGCTCCTGCTGAGCCGCCTTCAATTCTTGACGGAACCATGCCCGCTGCTCTTCCTCGGGCACGATCAGCTCGATCAGGTTGGCCTGCCCCCATTGACCTTGAGCCACAAACAGCTCGATCGACTTGATCCTCTGCACTGCCACGTCCAGAGCCCGCAGCAGATCGTTTTGAGCTATCATGTCGACCAAAGTTGTCAGTGTTCGCAACTCTCGAAGGTTCCTCAGTCCTATGGTGTCTTCTGGATGACGAGGAAGGTAAATCTGGCTTAGGTAAGCCCTTGCGACCGGTGGCATCTCCTGGTCCTTCACCGCCGTTCCCCCGCCTGTCGACCTCTCAGTAATTCCTGGAATCGGCGCAATGTCAGATTGGCCAACACCCCAGGTCTTTCCTGATGGGGCCGATGGAGACGGTCTGTCCCCTGTGGCAGGGCGGCTAGGCGAAAAAGCGAGTCCGAAGAAGAACTGGTTGTTGAAGAAGACTCATCACTTGAATCATCGGCTTTCCTTTCCTCTCCCTTCGGGCTCTCTTCCGTTCTTTTTCAGCCTGCCTCTTGGCTCTTTTCTTATCCTTCTTTTTCTTCTTTGAGGCATTAGCCTTTCTTATCTTGAGGGCGCTGTCTGCAGGTTCAGGCGCCATACGCTGAACAATCACGCCTTGAAATCCACTCGCCTTGGGGCTGGCGCCCTTCTCCTCCTTCTCTTCACGGGGTCTCTCTCCTCCCCTAGCGTCGGCCTTGGCCACTGGTCTGTCGCCTCCTAGTGCCGCTCCACCCTGGCTGCCTAAGGCTGCAGCAAGCCCATCTATGCCTTCAGCGCCCGTCTACACATCCTCGCGTGGCCCCGGCGGGGGGTTGCCATCTCCAGGAACCCCAGAGCCAGCGCCCCCACCACCAGGAACCACAATGTTGCTGAAGTCAATCAGCTTCTCAGCCTCGTCTCTTTTCACTCCCTTCAGCCAATTCAGAGACTCATAGCTCCGTCCCAGAAGGATGCGAAATACATCCATATGTATAGGATCACGGTAAACCGTGGTGTCAGAGCAATGAAGCGCTTGGCGTTGGCAGAAATGAAGCGGCACCACTTTGGTAGGAAAGGTGGTGTTAACCCACCATTCATAGTACCCATCTTCAACTCCAACAAAGCGACTCAGCCACGTCTGACCTTCACCGGGTTACACCTCAGTCCCCCGTTCCTGAAGCTAGATGAGACCTCTTCCTTGTTGTCTCCCGCCATCATCATAGAGAGACACTTCGATTAGGGTCAGCCTCTCAAGACCCAACCAATGGTCATTAGCTTTCCTTCCAGTTCTTCTCCAAGGCTCTGGGGCACTCATGAGCAAATCTCCTTGTCGTCCCCCTTCCCGGTATGGACCAGGTCGGGAATAAACTCAGAGAGCCGCCCACAAGTGTCCAGAGCCACCTCTTTCACCTAATCCCTTGAAACCAAATGCTACCAAGAGTTAGATCAGCTATCACACTATCAGAAAGGAAGACCACCAACTATAATTATATATATATATATTTATAATTTTATAATATATATATTTATTATTTAAATATATTATATAATATATATAAATATTATAATTATATATTTATAAAAAAATTCAATATCATAATATATTTTATTATTAATTTAAATATATTATATATATTTTTTATTTAATATAATTTTCATTTTATAGAAAATTAAACAAACATAAAATATATGTCCAATCGGGAAAATCAATGCGTTATTTCTTTGAAATACAAATTAGTATAAGACGCCGCGTACTTGGGAAGTCAGAGAAGGCAATACAAAATCATGTAAATCAATATGGGACACTGTACGCCAGCAATTATCTATTCCATTTAATATTCGGTATTTTTTATATTTTTTTATGGCTCTAAAATTCGGAATCATATTGTGGACGTTATTTTTATACAGTCATTGTTTTAAATTATTTCGAATTATTTTTTTCACAAAATTAAATGGGACGCAAATTTCACCACCACTATAATCAAACCGAAGCGATGGATACAATCCAAACAAATACACAAGCCTCCTGTGCCAGGTACAGCCTGAGGCCTACAGGTTCACGGCCAGGGTGCAAATCCGATTATGACTGGCACGTGCCGAGCAAGCGCATTAGCGCATCGCCCTGCTCTCATGTCCGACAAGGGAGCGTCGGCCGTTGGCCTCAAGTATGCAGGGCTGTTGCCACCCCGATCGCCCGGCCAGTAACGACTGCTGCGTGTGCCCCTTGTGGCACACGCAGCTCGGTGGTGGGAAGGTAAGCAACAACAGCAGCAGTACGACCAGCAGAACCAGCAGCAGTAGTCACGATCAGCAGAACCAGCACGACAAAACAAAACAAGGCAAGACAACTCACGCATTTCCAGCGATACTCTAGCGATACCCCGGCGATACCCAAAGAACCCCTCGCCATCAATCCCCCTCATCATTTCAACTTAACCACATCTCCAAATTTCAAAGTAACAAAACCCAATGCAATCAAATTCCCCATGGTAGTAACATAATAAATAAATTCCAAATTTGCAAAAACATAGGTAAAAATATCAATAATCAAAATCATATTTTCCAGACACAAGCTGGACGCAGCACGCATCGACTTCCATAATTCTTTCCCCTCAATTAAACGCAGCAAAATATATAAATGCATTGAATTTCCAAGTGGAGCGTATAAAATTATAAATTTAGAAATATATATATATATATATTATTTCAATAAAATCTCGAAAATTATATTTATTCTCTGGACACCACAAATCTTTCCTAGATAATGCCTAGAATAATCAATATGGCTCCTGATAATAATCTACAGGGTAAGGGTGTTAAGTCAGGCATACTCGTCTAAAATCAAATATCCCCATAAGCACAGCTCAAATACATAATCCCGCGAAAAAACCAACCAACACATATCAAAATACCATGGGCACACGCGTCGCAGGGACTTTTTCGGAATAGGCTAATTTCATCGGATTTTGCGCATATTGTAGTAAATCTCAATATTGTCATACATCTTAGGAGATTCGAACAGGAGAATACAATGGCACAACGTGGGTAACAAAGTGTACACATCCCTAAAGCCAAATGTTGGACCCAATGGCACAGCCCGTAAATGCAATAACACATCGCGGGTAAACAATATTATATATTCCACAATTGCGCAGGGTAAATATATGGGTGAATTTGAAGGTCTGTGCGCCGCGCGATATCGCGCGAGGTCCGTGCAAGGTTTGGCCCACCCAATTTCATTCGGGTAACAGAAAAGAAACAGCAAACAGGATCATGCACTGCACAGGTGTTGGTTCTAACAGGTTCTAAGTAGTGGTACTTTTTTGAAAGGTGACGACAATAAGTGCCAAGAATATCAAAACCTATAGGCAGATAAATCTTGAAATCAAATTTGTACACACCAACATCTTCCCAAATTCCTGGGGCACAATGGGGCACATGCAAAAGAAGCAATCACTCCCAACAACTCCTAAAATAGAAGTCGTACAAGAAATATCCCAAACACAATGGGCACATAATTTCCGGACGGCTTTAGACAAGCCCGGACGACTTAACGCAATGACCTAGTAGCAACTATCTAGAAAATAACGTAGAGTAGAAGGCTCAACTTGGCCCTGGGTGTGGTGCTTTTTAAGCATTCCCCGGGAATGGCCCAGGAAGCATTCGAATCATTCGAACAATAGTTCGATTAATTTATTATCCTTTTTCAGCCCTTATATATCCTTCTTTCTCTCTAGGAAATGGTCAGAAATAACTACAAGTATATAGATCAAAATCAAGTTGTCCGACTGAAGGGCCATCGTCGGAATTCCCCAGGAATCCCTGGGCAAAATGTGGAAAATTTACTGGTCTACCGGTTTCTGTCTAGAAAATAGGGAGCCTGGAAATGGCAATGGGGATTTAATTTCGTGAGATTTCAACTTCAAAAATATAATTATGACTCATTATGACTTATTTTTTATTAAATCTATATATTTGTAATTATTTGTATATATCTACCCAATAGTTGATTTTCCTAAAGATATTTCATTGCTTTGGATAAAATCCATCCTTTCTCAATTCCTATCAGCGAGGCATCAGCCAAGGGCAAAATAGTCTTTTCGCTTTCAGTTTCCACGGCACTTGCCCTTGCTTCTGCATCAAGAAGCTCCGCGTGGTCCAGAATCCTCATACAAGTTCGAGCTTCCAGCTGGCGCCCAACCTCTGATTTATCCTCCAGCAAAACTTCTTGCATGAACAAATCTTCTAAGGCGCTACAGCTCTCTGCTAGGTCTCTTGCATCTTTGTGAAATGATTCTGACAAGTTCACTTTCCCCAGCCATTTGTCCGGAAATCTACCAAGTGTCCTATACTTGCCAGTCAGCCAACTCAGACCACAGACTGGAAAATGTAGAATGCACGGATCTGGGCAATCGACAAAACCGTCCACATCCATGTGCCTCGGATCTGCCAGAGCTGTACAACTTGTCGATCCGGGAGGCAGTTGCCAGATGTGCTGGTTCTTTGGATTTGCGTGGCAGTCAGTTCTGCAGGCGCTCTTTCCATTGTCATAAAAAAGGAAGTACTGACCTCTTTTTGATCTGTCCATCCAAAATCGTAGTGCACTACGTGCCTGAGCAGAAAGAGGAACTGCGAAGTGATGCTGTTTGAAAAGTGTCACAGTCGCAAAATAGTCCTCAGTCTCCGCCTTCTCGGGAACACCTTCCTTGCAAGGGGCAATGTTCACAAACAAACAAGCAACAAACAAACAAACAATCAAACAATCAAACACAAAAAACAAACGCACACACACATCATGTACACACACAATCACATATGCACATATATATATATACATATACAATAGAAATAATAATAGTAACATATACATATATATAATATGTGTGTGTGTGACATGACATTGCATGACAAGCCATGCCACACCACGTCACAACCCGACACAAGATGCCACGACACCACACGACACCACATGACACTACATTACCCTACCCGTACACTTCATTACATTGCATTGCATTGCACTACACTACACTACATTACGTGTATACAGCGCGCTACATTACACTATATACATGACATGGCATGACTTGACATTGCATTGCATTGCATTGCATTGCATTGCATTGCATTGCGTTACATGCGCGCACTTTACGTCACTCTATTGTATCAATTTAATATGATATGCAATATTGCGTGACGTGTACTGTGCATATATATATATAATTTATATATATATATATTGAATTATATTGATTGTGCGCGTGTGTGTGTGTGTAACATCTGAACAGATGTAAAACTTCCTTGGTTTTTATCTCACATTTGCAGGGGGCAGGAGCGTCATGGTAAGTCTCCTGCCAACGAAGACACTTACCATCGACGGTGATACCAGACTTGGCCAGTCTGGCGTACCTGCATCAGTTTTGTTTTCATGATGGGATGTGGCTAACCCGAGAACCACCAAGCCGTCATTCAAACAATTTATTTTACATCTGGAATTACGTTTGATCATTCATGCTTGATTCAATTGCATCAGAACCTTCCTCAGTATTTTCGCCGAAACCATGTCGCCGACAGTATTTTGATTTTCTGGATTTTTCGCCGAACATGTCGCCGATGTATTTGGATTATTTTGTCAAAACTACGTCGCCGATTTATTTATTTATTTTTGATGACGATCTTGGCCATGGAAACCATTCAGGAGAACTTCTATTATTCGTAGGATGCATCGTTAATTTCATTGTTTCGTATCTAATCTGCATGTTTCAGGATTCAGTTCCTGCCGGATCATATAATGATCCATTCTTGTCTAGTGTGATTTCCATGGTGGCTCCGACATGGTGCCATGGAGCCATTTGAGGCAACCCTCTTTAGGGTGAGTGATGACTGTCCTGACTACCGAATGTAACGTGCAACAGTCTGCCTTTCGGTTTTGCACCTTTTTTGCGAAGTCCTGCCGCTCCGGCTGTCCCTTGCGAGCTCCAGTGGAAGCAGTTCTTTGATTGTGAAGCGGTGCTGAACATTCAGAAACCTCCTTCTTCGCAGCAACTTTTGACGTCACATTGCAACAGTACATGGAAAAGGATCAGGCAGGCACACGACTTGCAGGTTTGGTTTCCTTCCTTTTGGTTCTCTGGTGAGGTGAAACATATTGTGCATCTAATTCGATGGAACTTGAAAGCCGTTATATGCCAACTGGGGCAAGACTTGAACACGGTCCCGGTGCAGGGAATAATCGCACGACTCTTAGGAATCTAGGGACTGAATCCTGGTCGTGAATTCTATTGTGTGACTTTCCATTGTAGTTTTCTTTACCTGAGCGATGTACCCGTGGACGACTCCTCCGACGTCATGGCCTGCTCCACCGCAGCCTACGAATCCATCTTCGACGTGGCCACCATCACCGCAGAACGCACATTTGTTTGGACATCCTTCGCCACTACATCCTACATGGTCTTCGTCATCCCCGCTCATGCCGTCTACGTCAGTCACACCATCTTTGCCATTTACATCATTGCCTTCGGCTCCTCCTGCGGTACCAGGCCCTCAACTCGTGCCTACAATGCCCGCACCTCTGGCTCCTGAAACCACCATGGTGCACACCGCTCCACCGACCTTCACTACCCCTCCGGCACCCACCGCTCCACCCGCATGGCATTCTGCTCCGGCTTCATCGCCTACATCGACTACTCCACCGACACCATTGCAGAGCTCTCCATACCCACCTCACAACCTTCACCCTCCATTATCAACGGAAGCATCTATGGCTCCTCCAGATGAACCTCCACCACCGGCAGTTAAGGCTGCCCCAAAGCTTCGCTCCGACAAGAAACCTGACAAACCACGTCGTTCTGCTCCAAAAGCCTCTCTCCATGCTACACCACCGGCACCAACGGCAGCACCGTCTCCATCCATTTCACCAGAACTTGCAGCGCTGGGTTCCACTACACAACAACTGGCCGAATCGGTCCGTCTTATTCAAGCTCAACAACAAATGATTTTGGATTCTCAACGTGCCCAAGAACAACGTCAGCTGCTTCTCCGCCACGATGTACCTGCACCGGACCCTACACCGCCTACACCATTGCCAAAAGCAACAACACCACCTTCAACCATGCCTTCACCCGCACCGAAAGCACGACCCACCGAACCTGAAGTTCCGGACCATCGCATCAACTCTCTTCCAGCCACCTCTTTGCCTCACCATCTACATGCTCCAACGTCGCCACCGCACAGACCACGATCCAGGACTCCAAGATCCCGCTCTCGCCGACATTCTGCACAACCACATCATCGTCGACATTCTCCTCGCCGTGCTGTCCGACCTCGTTCGCCCCTTCCTCGATTTCGGTCTTCCACGAAACACGACAAGGATCGCCGGAACTCCTTCTCCATATCGACGACGATCACCACCAAGACGCCGCTCTCCCGTGGTTCCTCGACGTCATCGATCTCACCCCAGACCACGTTCAAGAACCTCTCGTCGTCGTTCCAGAGGCCGCGAAATCGTCTTACGACCTGCTGCACGCCCATCCAATCCGGCCTACATCCCCACACCTGATGCTGATGACACCTGGGGCGAATGGAACAACAGTCACTACCCCGACGACAACCATCACAACAATGCTCGACCCAACTCTCCCGCCGGCCCACCACCACCTGAACCATCTACCAACCCACCATTACCTCCCGCAGCACCACTTGGAGCCGTGGCCTTCCGCGTCCCTGACGGCGACAGCGAAAACTCCGAGGTTACAGATGCATTTTCGATCTCAAAATTTGACTCGAATGACATCGACCTCAGTGAAATGGTTGAGGCGGCCAATGATCCACTTAGGGTACGCTGCTTGACCGAGCTCGGCCCCGACTATACCATATCCCTACGCCAATCATTGAACCAGTCCAACATGCAGCTCTTCAACCAGTTCGTTGACGAGATGTTCCTCCAGTTGGCCCAACCATATCGCAACGTCAACAACCAACGCATTTTCATCCGAGCAAGTCAGGCCACCGTCAAGAACATTGCCAGGGCCTTTGCACAATCCCGATTACTTGACATCGAGCTGGCGAAGCAAACCAAAGCCTTTTACATCGAGCCAGAGAACCTGCTGACCATCACGGTCCCAATGGGATTGCCCAAGAAACCGATCTATCGTGGCGAGCACATGGGCACCTACCTGATCTACCACAAAACGAGTTGGGAAACAGTTGCCAAGATCCTTGCTGAAGATTGCATTCGCCCGGCAACTTGGACAAAAAACGAAGCCGGCTACCCGACCCAATACCCATGTTACGGGTTCTTCGGCATGTCCTCTGAGATTCCTGACATCGATGTCCTGCCGGGCTATGCTGTCAAGCTCTGTACATCCCAGCTCTACCGCATAGGGAAAGGACAAAACCCATCGGGCCTATTGGCCATCTGTCGCTCTCCCAAATGCATGCGGGCCCTATCCGGAGGAAATGACCAAATTCAACGCTTGTGCAACCTACAGGGCATCTCCAAGGGCAAAGACAATGCAACGGCTATGAACTCCAGCGCTGCATCCATATGCTATGTTGCCTCTACTCATTCGGTTTATCCAGGCTTGATCACACACCAGGCTGCGGAAACAAACCCATCCACTGCCGCAGCACCAAATGAACCACCAGCTGACCATGAACGTCCAGCACTACCTGACTCTACCGTTGACACACCTGCACCTTCAGACCCACCTCCAGACGACTCTCGAGCGACCACCAGCCACCACGAGACCACCGCACATGCCACACGAGATCATGCTCGCCGACATTGGCATGACAATCCTTCTTGGGACGGTTCAACATACAACCGTCGAGACCGCCGTTCCTCCTATCGCGAAGGCCATTCTCGAGATCAGCACCGTGAAGGCCAAGCTCGTTCTCGCACTTCGGCATACAACTACTCCAGATCTCGATGGTAAACACTTCACCCTGGCAAACTATCGACTATTCCGCGACAGCGATCTAGTGAGCCTAGTGGCCTTGCCCGATTCTTTTGGAGTAACAATGCTTCTCCCGACATTCGGTATTGGCGCCACTTCTTCCATCAAAAGGTATTTGTTTGGCTGCATGCTCATGGTATTTGAATTCTGAGTTGCCCTCGATTTTCACCTCACGTCTCACACACCGGGGCAGTTTATCATGTTTCACACTTTTCTGATCGCACGCCACCTTCGTATCACCTTTTCACCCTACCGCAGTTTTCAGTCGGTTGATCGAGCTTATTTTGATCTATCATCTCGTGGCTTCCGTCTACATCATGGCGTCCCAGGATTTGATCTCCCAGTATAGCTCTGACTTGAATGCAATTCCTCCTTCCCAGCCGGATCGCTCACGCACCCCTCCTCGACATCAACATGGCTGGCACCAAGCAGTACCTATGTTTCGTGGCCCGATGCACTATGCGATGGCAACCCATCGACCATTTTGGAACCCTTCGGGGGTACCGCCTCCGCCACCTACATCTACATCGTTCCCACACGGCCCCCATGGACTCCATCTACGGCACCTTTCCCACCTACACCACCTACGTTTTCCCAACAACCTCCCAACAACGCCAATTTTGCACCTCAACGACATCCTTTCACACCGAGATCGCCGAGACCTATGTCATCTCCGGGCGCATGCTCTGCTGTCAATGAAGGATATACCTGTCGGCCGATCGAGATCCCTCCGGTGGACCAATGGAAA